GAGGAAACAGAGCTGGGATTTGAAAAGAGGGTCTTGGTGATGCCAAGGTGGGCTTCTGGGCCTCTGCATCCCCACCCCACTCGCACCCCCTGAAACCTCTCTTCTCCTTCATTTGCTCCTCAGAGCCTGTACTTGGGTGGCTGCTCCGGGTCAAGATACTGCAGAAGCAAGGATGCTTGTAGCCTCCTCTCCGGTGAGCTCCATCGGCCCCTTGTCCTCCCCGACTGGACTCTAGAACATGGGAGGGTCCAGGGGAAGGGGCTGGACCTCATCTGAGCCCCTTGTTACAAGTTCAAGCAGCCAAGGGCCCCAAGGGAGAAGTGATTTTTTTCCTAAGCCTGTCAGTAGTGAAGGGGTGGGATTTGTGGTGTTAGCCCACTGGCACGTCTTGAGAGGGATGGCGTGTGTCTCTCTCCAGTGTCACCCCATCCCCATCCCCATCGTCTCCCTTGGAAGCGTCTGCTCCCCAGTAAAGGCTTCCATCTGTCCTACAGAGACAGGGTTCCATACTGCCCCCGAGCCTGCCCAGAAATACGGACACCTTGGAGTCCCTGGGCAGTACACACGGTTAAGAGTCTCAGCTGCTCAGACCAAACTTGGCCATTATCAGTGCACCCAGGGGCCCTTTGGAAGACAGACCTGCAGCTCCACTTGTTCAAAATCGGCCTTTGAAAACAAACCCCATGGGCACAGTTCCACTCTGATGCCCAGAGGGTCGCCACCGTGAGTCAGATCCACTTGAGGACAATTGGTGTAGGTATTCTTGGCCAACCTAGGATCAACCCAGCCCCGGGGAGGGGGGGCTGTCCAAAGACTCTCAACAGGGCAACGCCCCAGGCTAAGGGTGGACGTTTGTTTGGGTTCCCACACTCGGGACCCTTATGAGCATGCTCAGTCACTCCTCAGGCCCTCACCCATCCCTACAGGACTCCCTGTGTGTGCGCCAGGCACTGCACTAGACACCTTCTAGGGCTTGTCCAATGGGGAAGGCAGCTCTGAGAAAGAACAATGATGCAGCAGCCAGCCTCGGGTCCAGGGTGAGAAGCCAGCAGGAGGACACAGGTAGTGCCCAGCGAGTTCAGTCTATCCTACAGCCTGGAATGCTGTTCTACCTCCGTGTCATCAGAGGTAATATCACCTCTTGGAGACAGTCATATCTTTCTGTGTTTCCCCCACCCCCAATATACAATTGTATTCCTTACATCCCCCAATCAGTATCCAGCATAGCTCCCCTTTCCTGTTCCTTCCTTGCTTTTATAACACCTGGACTTCCCTTCTTGGTTTGCTGTCTGTCTCCTCTCTTCTCCCCATTGTCAGGGACAGTCTTTGTGGACAGGTCCTTGTCCATTTCACTCCGAGTTGTAAGCCCAGCATCTAGAATGTGCCTAGCTGTCAATCCCCCAGTGCACTAGGTGCAGACCCTGTGGAGAGAGCGGCCTGCCAGGGTTGATCATTCAGGGAGGAAGGCTCCCTGCGTCGGTGGGCTGGGATTCCCACTCTAAGGGAACAGGGATTGCCGCCGCAGGTCACAGCCTGGTTTGACCCCTGTCAAGGAGACGCCTTCCTTCACCCTCCCTGCCCCAGCTGCTCCCTCCCATCTGTCCATCAACACCTCCTCTGGCAAACTTGAAAGATGAAGGGTGGGGTGGGATTGTCAGTTTCAGCTCCTTTATCAGATAACCCAATGACAATTTCCGTCTTGGGTGTGATTTCGAGGGGATATTATTGGAGAAATTATAAAGCTTCAAAGACTGTGTACGAAACACAAAGCCATCCATGCTGGGTGTATTTTCATCTCA